TCTTTGTGCAGCTTGCTGAAGACAACTTGCGGAAACCACAAACTTCGGTTGCGTGAAAGAGAGCAAAGTTTTAGCTTTGTTGTCGTCGTGTTTGTCACTTGCGAAAGCTTTTCGTTCAGTTCAACGCTGCCTGTTTGGTTTTGCTTTCGAGGGCTCCGCCCAAATGCCGCGCCCCTGCGTGGGCCCCTGGGATCGTGCTCGGAATGCTTGAATTGGATTTAAGCGCTGTCTGCTGGTCGAAGAACCCGACAGACCTTGAAGCTTTACATTTCATTTTTCTGTTGGGCTTAAAGCAACTAGTCACTGAAGGCACCTCGGAGCTTGTTTCCAGGCAGGGGCTGTTCCAGCCAGAGGCTGTTTCCAGGCCGGGGTTGTTTCCAGGCCGGGGCTGTTTCCAGCCAGGGGCTCTTTCCTGCGCAGGGTTTTTTCCTGCCAAGGGCTGTGTCCAGACATGCTGGGCCTTTTCCACCACCAGGCCGTTTCCAACCCAAGGCCGCTTCCAGCCAAGGGCGGTTTCCAGCCAGGGGTCGTTTCCAGGCCTGGGCTCTTCACCCCAATATTTGTTTTGGTGTGGTTGGAGCATGTTTTGAAACCATTTCATATTTTGTCGAAAGTTTCCCGCAAGCCACAGCCGGGAGCCAGTTCTAATGTATAGAAAGCTGGAGTCCATGGCTCAACGGCTGCCGAACAAAAGCAGCGACGAAAAGTAGTGAAAATCCTCATTACCTTGGATGTCCTGATGTTACCGCATGTCTGAAGCTGTTAGGAGTGCTTTGGAGTTAGGTGAGTGACTGCACGTTCGTTTCGTCTCGTTTCGTCTCGTTTCGTTTAGCGCTGACGTGTTTTGCTTGGAGACAGACAGCTGTCAGTCAGAGCCCAAAGACGCTGAGCTGCGCCAACGCCCAAGAAAAAAACCGAGTGCTTCACAAAAGTTGATGTGGGTGCCCGCTCTTTGTGGGTGCTGTGTCCCTTCTCTTCTCCTGATGAAAAAGACGAATGTACAATCTACAGTCCGCTCAGTCTCTGCAGGGCCAATGTGTGTTGATCGAGACCTGCAAAGACGGTTCATGCGGATAGAATTGATAGAATACCAGTGTAGTCTTCGAAGTCTTCGAGAAGCCGTTTCCTGCGCCAGGCCGTTTGCTGCGCGAGGTCGTTTCTGTGCAATGGCTGTTCCCGGCATTGGTTTGTTTCTGACCGGACGGCACCTTGCAAAACTGGGGGTGCCTTGTCCTGCGGTAAGAGTTTGTCTTGCAAGAGGCCGTTTCCTACCAGAGGCCGCATCTGCCGGGAAGCCGGTTCTTACGACAGGCTTTTCACCCCATGTGCCTGCTGGGAATGAAAGTGCAAATTTCGTGACTTGTGCGCACGATCGTATGAGTAGTCTCGTCATTTCTTTCTTCGTCCTACTTCAAGACTTCCGGTGCTAGCAGCTGACCGAAACTGGACCGAAACCCTAAACCCCAAAAGCCGTTCTCGAGCGTTTAACGCCGCTTTCCGACTGGCAAATGCCTGCGCCCTTCAATTTGACCCGTCAACCATAAACCCCCAAAGCACTAAACCCCTGAACCCTTAAACCTCCTAAATACCTCTACGGCCGCAAAATCCTAAAACACGAAAGCCTAAACCTTCAACCAAGAAAACAAGCCAAGCTCAATCCACCATGGCGTGCAAAAACCAAGCCCGCCATCAGTTAGTAGCAGTGCTCGTAGTGCGACAACTTCGATTTTCAGTAGTACGAACTTTCTTGCAAGATAAACATCCATATTCCTTCGAACATAGGCGTCAGCATAAGGCTTTCATGGTGTCAAAGTAGGGGACAGAAAACCGGTCCCCCTCACAAAAAGTCCAGCATTCCTGGGACAGTTCCTGTTACGTTCCCGGTTTGTAGTGGCCCCCGTTAACGTTACGACGCCCAGAAATGGTTTCCATTACTTCCCAAGCACGTTCCTGTTGCTCCCCGCTCCCATTGGTGGAAAGTCTAGTGCGTGGAGAGCTTTTTGTCTCGGGAGAATACACTCGCAGCCACAGTGTTGCGTTGTTATTTTGTGGATAGGTTGTGATAAGAAGCTTTGGACTTTCGAAAGGCACCTAGGATCTAGAAAAACCCGGACACATTGGCTAAAACTTGGAGCCAATGGCCTGGAGATGGAACTTGTCAGTTGTTGTTCAATCATCGGCATTCGCATGGCAGCTTTGGTCGAAGCTTGTGCAAGATATCGTTTTTTGGATGTGGATACGGCTCCGATAACTGGACGTCGAGCTTCGAGTTCTGAGCAACAAATTCAACAAATTTCGCTTGCTATTCAGGGGCTTCTCTATGCATCAATTCGCGCAGCAACAGTTGCCGTCCAAACAATGGTCGGGGGGAGGGTATTGCATCCAACCGCCATAAAACTTGATTGGAGAGGAGCGTTTTGTTCGATGCATATGATGTCATGCACAAAACAACAGAAGTTACGACAAGAAGGGAACACACGGCAGTTTTGCCGGAAACTTATGGTAAACTTTTTGTTATTTGTGGATGTTGATTCCCAGAACATATGTTGTTAGCAACGGGTTGCGATGCGTGTGCCTGCATGTTCAGTTCAGCATGGGTTGGAACAGGAACACGACGTGCATTTTCGTATGACTCCCCATTTTCAGCAACAGGTTGGTGGTCTTTGCATGGGTGTACCACAAGCAAAATTCCATGTTTCGCTCTGCTTGCACATGACGCAGTTGAGATCATACAATGCGGAAGAAGAAGATGGATCTTGAGGATGATGTTGGCGATAGCCATGGTGATGTGGCGGTTGATGATGACGTGATTGTGCATATCCAGGTTTTATGCACCCTGGTTTCGCCCTTCAATTTGCATTATTTTTTTCTAATCTTTAAAGAAGCACGACTGTTGTTTCTCGCGTGTGGTCATAGTTGCTCCCATCGAATAAACATGAACTCCCAATCAATTGCAGTGCGGTGAGTTTAGAGAGGTTGGTGACAGACACAGACGACGACATGTGGCCATGCTCAATTGCTCAAGGGTGTGCGCTGTGGCACTGTGCGGAAAGGGCACAGGATGTTGTCAACTTAAATGCGTATAGCGCTCTTCTTTTGTGTGCTCGCCGGAAGCTCGGTTTCGTGTCATGTCGACGTGTTGAGCATTTGCAGATGTGAGTCCAGCTCTGAATCTAGTTTCGTTCCAGTCGCTGGCACACAGTGCATGAGTTGCACTGGCCAAGGTCGCTTTGGTGGTGGGGTGCCTTGCAGAATGCGCGGGAGACTGCATTGAGTTTCGCAAGGAGGTGTACGCATTGCGAGAGGAACTCGATGCCCGCTTGCGAAGGTTGGAGGCGACTCGGCGTCCCCACACATATCCCAAATCCCCAAAGCATTTGTGTCACGTTTGCATGCTGCCATCGCCAGGATCGGTCTATTTCAGAACGCCGCGAGCTGCAAACATCCTTGTCTTCGTCGTTCTTCTTGGCAGAAGTCTCTGGGTCGCAAATGGGGTTGTCAATCCTTCGTAATCGCACATGGCGTTTTGCTTCATGTCAGCCGAACCTGCGTGTTGTGCAATCCTTTGATTAGTGCGTTGGCAACGCTTGTTTAAGCAGGTTCGTTTTTGTGTGAATACTCTTCACTGTGGTGCAATCTCTTCAGCCAACCATTTTCCGAAGAATGGCTAGCCAACAAGTGCATGCTCCGAAGACTTCAGGTAGCAAGACCTCACGTGATGGCCATGGTGTAGCTTCGTTTCTTACCGTCTCGTACCCTCCCAGACACATTGGAATGTACCTCCCGTGAAGGCGCTGATTCGCTGGACTCTGTGTGAGAAGAATATACAATGTTACAATAGTAAACCGTTTTCCAACAATATAAAGGTACAGGAAAACAAGAGAATAGTTAACATCTCTAAGAACATACATACTCACATGAACGTCTGATAATTTGGCGTTGTCAACGTATCAAACAGTAGGATGCTTTTTGGTAATGTCGCAAAGTCGTATCCCTCGTCGAACGAATATGTATTAGTAGACAGTAATACTGCATGTAGAATAGAACACAGCGAAACATCGAGCGAAATGTGATATTAGTTGCCATTCAGCAAGAATGCAAGAATATACCATAAGTTATGATATGTCAGCACATCAGTTCGAGAAGATAAGTAACAACGAAATGCAACCATGCAGCAGCTTAACATAAGGTAAGTACACCTTCATGCAGTTGAAAGTAATGCAATGTAATATTACACAATATATCTGAGAATAATAAAAACGCAGTATACAGGGTTTTATCCAATAAAGATAGCATAATCGAATGTAGTCGAATATAGCACGCCGTGTCTAAACAACTAATACGACCCGTTATGATCCAGCCGAATGGCATCGTACAGCATATTACAATACAATGTAATGTTTTGTGCTGCAGCAAAAGTTTTCCATGTTCCACTATACACATGAGTGCAACGAATGCTGCAGCAGAGAGAATATGTTACAAATTATCCAAGTCTTGCACTGCAAGGTCGAGGCCTTGCACGAACGAGATGTCAGCATCGCGAGTGCTTTGGACACCATCTGGCTTTGTATGTGCGCAAGTATTGCTGCTCTTATGCACGGTGGGTTTGCCATGTTGGAGACGGGCACCTGCCGTGCAAGGAACGCATCCAACCTTCTTATGAAGAACTTGCTCAATGTTTGCGTTGGCACCATAGGGTGGTGGCTTTGCGGATGGGCATTCGCATACGGTGATCTGAAATACGATCTCTTCGGAACAACAGGCTTTGCCAGCTCCAACCTCTTAATCATCGCAGATGGACATATACGACCGGTAGAAAGCTGTTCGGGTGAATCCTGCCAGAGCAATTTGATACAGTGGTTCTTCCAGTGGGTGTTTTGTACGACTGCTGTGACTATTGTAAGCGGTGGTGTTGCCGAAAGGGTGCGCAGTTTGACGTATGCTGGTTTTGCATTCTTCATGTCTAGCATCATATATCCTGGAGTTGTTGCATGGACTTGGGGTGGTGGTTGGCTCTCTGCGACGCTGGACGTGGGCTTCACTGATTTTGCCGGGAGTTGCATCGTGCACGTGGTGGGTGGCGTTGGCGCGCTCACAGGTGCCATAGTGCTTGGTGCCCGGCGGGGCCGTTTTGAAGACCCGGCAGCTTTTGAACCACACAGTCTTCCGCTGGTCGTCCTGGGGACGCTCATGTTGTGGTTTGGATGGTATGGGTTTAACTGTGGTTCCACATTGGCTCTGCATGATGATGTCATGGCAGCACAAGCAGCGCAAGTTGCTGTCAATACAACCCTTTCAGCTGCTGCTGGTGGAATCACAGTTTTCCTCTTCCGCTTCGTGCTATCGCGGAAGTATGATGTATGTGGTCTTTGCAATGGGATTCTTGCTGGCCTCGTATCGATAACGGCTGGATGTTCAAACATGGATTGTGGCAATGCCCTGGCCGTCGGCAGCCTTGGTGGCTTGATTTATCAGTGCTTTTCCATGAGCTTGCAGCGCCTGCAGATTGACGATCCAGTGGATGCAAGTGCTGTCCATGGAGCCTGCGGAGTGTGGGGTGCCATGGCAGCGGTAATATTTGATTGGGGGGAAGGCTTTAGCTATTTTCATGGCTCCTCCGGATTCCAATGTGTTGGAGATGCAGGGATCTGTGAGACGGGCCTGGTTGCAAAAGCCTTGGCGGCTCAGTTGATATTCGTCACGGCAGTTCTCAGTTGGGTCTTATCGTTGTCGACGATCGTCTTGCTGTTGCTGGCCTTGAGCGGCTTTTTGCGAATCGAGCAGAGCACGGAGGAGATGGGCATTGATGCCATGGAGCATGCACAGACAAAGGCATATGATATCGGCGAGGACGGCATCCCGGACGCCATTGAGCAGCGGCATGCACCTATTCGCAAATGCCGAAGGCATTCTGTGTGTTAGTCCCGGCAATCTTGACATTCAGGTGTCGATAAGTCGTCAAAACAATTCGAAAAGACTATGCGACTTCAAAGGAGTCTCGCATTCACTTGCAAGGAGACACAAGTGACCGTGAACATGTCAAAGCAAAGCTGAGGGACGAGCAAGCTTGTAGCGTGCTTAAGATTTGTCAGTATATTTGGGCAGTGCTCGATAGCCTTTTTGACCCGCAGCCGTTTGTGAGTTCATCTCACAACAAAGCATAGCCAGCGCTGACCGAGCGCTTTCCATGGGGCGGCATCATGCGCTGGCGAGCTCCATTTCTACTGCTTCTTTCCGTGCCTTGTATGAAGCTCGTGTGACGTTACCGTCTTCGACACATGGACAAGCTCTGAACCGTCTGAGGTGGACTTGGCTCGCTGTGAGGATGAGGCAGAGTTGGCCCGCTCACGCTTGGAGCTGAAGGCTTTGCAACTAGAGATCGAGAAGCGATTGGGGCCTGTGGAGGACGGAGGCAGAAGTCCATAGCAACTTTCCATACAGCACACACATGCAACATACCTACGGTAGTCGGTTCTGCGAGGAGCGGACGGGCAGAAGGCTGCAGGGCTCGGATCTGGAGGACCGCCTGCTTGAGACCGTCGCTTGGAGACAGACCCAGTATCTTGCAAGTGGCAGTCGCAGACTGGATGGTCGTCTTGTTTTGTTGTGTCTGTGCCGGGGAAGGGGGGCGTTTCCCCCCCAAGGTCCATGCTCTACAGAAGGCGGATGACACTATGGCCGCAGCTGCGGACAACCTCTGGCTACTTCTGTGTGGGGCAATATTGATGTTCATGCACGTAGGTTTTGCCATGGTGGAATGCGGTACATGTCGTGCCCGAAACGCTTCGGATCCAAGCCGAGTTAACAGGTCTTTCATATTTGCCTTTGGTGTAGTCTTCTGTGCAAGCTGGCTGTCTCTGTGACATCGTGACATGTTGTGTTCGTCAGGATGCTCTCATCAAGAACATGCTGAGCCTCTGTGTTGGCACTTTGGGCTGGTGGTCCTTCGGCTGGGGAATTGCCACGGGCAGTTTATTCCAGGGCTTCATTGGGACGAGTGGCTTCTTCGGCTCGGACCTGCTTAAAGTAGGCCCCGGCCAGTCGCTGAAGGCTACGATATCTTGCGATGATGGGGTCTGTCCAACCAAGATGGCTGTCTGGTTCTTTAACTGGGGTTTCTGCACGACAGCTTGCACAATTGTCAGTGGTGCTGTGCTGGAAAGAGCAAAGAGCTCAACGTACTCGGTGTACACCTTTTTGATGACCGCCTTTGCCTACCCATTAGTTGTAGCATGGACTTGGAGTGATGGTTGGCTCGCGAGTCTGTTCGATGTCGGATACACAGACTTTGCAGGAAGTTGCATCGTGCATGTGTCCGGCGGCATGGGAGCACTGGTCGGCACTGTCCTCCTAGGACCGCGACTGCATCGCTTTCATCCCTCTCATGCAGCTGCCTTCGAACCGCACAATTTGCCCTTTCTTGTTCTGGGGACGCTTTTCCTTTGGGTTGGCTGGTTCGCCTTCAATGCAGGGTCCACGCTGTCCCTGCACACCCGTGAGACCGCAACTCTGGCAGCGCAAATCGCCGTCAACACAGCACTAGCTGGATCTTCAGGAGGGACCTCCGTGTTCTTGCTAAGACTCGTGGTCACGAAAAAATATGATCTTGCAGGCCTCTGCAATGGTATTCTGGCTGGTATAGTTTCCGTTACTGCCGGATGTGCAAACATGGATGCTGGAAGTGCACTTGCAGCTGCTGTTGTTGGTGGGTTGGTCTTCGAGGGATTCTCCGCCCTGTTGAAAAGAATGCAGATAGATGATCCAGTAGATGCGAGCGCTGTTCACCTAGCTTGTGGTGTCTGGGGCACCATTGCGGCTACACTTTTTGATTGGGGAAAAGGCTTCGACTACTACCACGGCCGGAATGGGTGGACTTGCCTGCAAGCTGCGCCTTCCAACGAGCAGCCCCAGGGATGCATCGCAGGTATCGTAGGGACGGCCCTCGCTGCCCAAGTCGTGCTCATTCTTTGTGTTCTTGTTTGGATTGGGTTTTGGTCCTTTGTGATTATCAAGCTTCTCACGGTGGCTGCAGGACTCAGAGTGAAAGAAGGTACCGAGCAGGCTGGCTTGGACGCTGCAGATTACGCACAGAAAAATGCATACTTCTTGGAGGAACGAGAGAGTCCCAATTCCTGGCGCGTGCTTTCATCTTAAGCATACCGTGCGGCGGCTGATGCCTCAAACCAGGAATGCAGGAGTCAGCATTGGCTGTGTGTAGCATTCTGTACAGTTGTTTGGTGGCAAATCCAAGATTTGCTGCCCAAGAGTCGATCTTTGTGTCCCTTTGTTCTAATTAGGTTCCGTGCGAGCGTGCGAGCTGATCCAAGATCTCTTCCCGTGTCAGCTGCCGCGCCTCACGCAGAGCCGAAAAGTTCCATTGCTCGGCACGTTCTGCATTCTGACAGATCGGTCTGAGATGTATTCAGCATGCATGATGGGCTTTTCGATAAGGCAACAAGAACCACAACAAATGGATGTAGATGGTAGTTCTGTGCGTGTCAACGTTGAAGGAAGGAAGCGGGCCCGTCTTCAGCTAGCGTGGAGCACTCCGCCGGCAGAGCCAAGCAATGAGTGTTTGTGGCCATGGCCATCAAGGCATAAAATCTTCGAGAACTTACGGGTTACTGTCTGCAGGTTGCACCTTGAGGCCTGAAGGCTTGAGGCCTCGCAGAGAGGCCGAGATGTCAAGCTTTACCCGCTTTTGGAAGCTCCAACTGCGGCCAGGCTGCGAGCGAAAGACGCTTCGTCACCTTCGTCGCGCGCAGAGCATAGAAACAAAAACTCGGCTCTCAGCTTGGTTTTGTTGCTTGGGGTTTGCGAGCACGAAGCGAGCACCATCTGAGAACGAGCACGGGCGAGAATGGTGACCGCCACCTCGCTCGTTGGCTCTTGACCTTGATTGCTCTTTTCTTGAAGTTGAGCTGAAGGCTATACTCTTCCGAGAGGCTTTGGCTAAGGAATGCCCGACTGAAACGTTCTACATGTTCTCGATAGGCTGCAAAAGATGGCCTGTGATCTTCGCTGCGTTGCGAGCTGCTTCTGGAGATGATCTGTTTCAGGATGTCGGTTGCCATGCATCACTGTTGCAGATGGCCGTCAGCATCCCAGGTGCGAATATTATCAGCATGAGCAGCAGCACGGCTGTTTCTACGGAGAGGTCAGCATTGGAGTCACTGCTGCAACGGGCCAGTGAAGAGTGTCCTAAGGCCACGGACGGGTGCCTTTCGAGTTTAACTGATCTGCGGCTCCATGTATGGCCGTATGTGCAAGAAGAAACGAACTGGTCGGGCTCGGCTTGGTTGCCTGGGGGAATGGACAGTGAGCAAGCTATCGGGGATGTCAGCTGCTCCGAGGAGAAGGCAATGTACTATCGCCATATTTGGAAGTCAGCTGGCCACAGTGTCTTCGAAAATCTTGAGAAAATTTCCACAAACTTCAGCCAAGAAGGACTATCCTATGCCCAGTTTTGTGAACGCTATAACTCCGTCGACGGCAAAGATCACGTCGGCTTCACTTTCGTGCGACATCCAATCGCACGGTTCATCTCCGGGTATGCGGAGATCGAGAGCCGAGCCCGTGATGGGAATCCAACTTATGAAGACCTCGCGACAACTCTGAACAAATATCCCGTAGGCAGTCCACGACGAGCTGCTGCGTTCTTCAGAGAGTTTTTACGCACCGGCATCAACCGTGATGGTCATGTCAAGCCGCAGTTGGAATTTATGATACCAAATGCCGGCTGTTCAGTTCCGATGGGTTTCATTGGAAAGACAGAGAGCATGGAAGACGATTGGACAAGGATGTTCGAAGCGCACCAGTGCAACCTCTCTTCACCTTTTGATGAGTCGCTAGGCTTGCACCCCAATGATGAGCAGGACAAGACTGCCATGGAGACAGTTCTGGGCTGGACGGAAACAAGTACGATCGAGCCAATCGACGGTTCGTACGACAACGCGACGCCTTCTGCCGTGGCGCTCAGCCAAGCTTCCGCTGATGTGCGTGCAATAGTTGCTGCACTTCAGGAGAATGGTTCCAGGTATTTGCGGGCATTGTGCTGGCTTTTGCTCGCAGATTTTGCGTCATTTCGCTTCAACATGCCTGCTGCTTGCCGCAGTGGGCTCCTCCATAAGAGCAGATTTGCTTTGCTGCGTGCTAAGCCGGCATCGAGTACCGCCCCATGATGCGCAAGTGCGAGTGCTCAGCATTGAGAAAGCTCATTGGCGGGACATCAGTTCACTTGTCGGCCCGACAAGTTCGTTGGTGTGTCTGCGTGTGTCGGCGCGTTTCGAGAGCTTAGCCGTTCACTGTGTTGTTAGAGGTGTATCCTTTCACTGTCACGGATGTAAAAAGCCTGACGCAATCTCGAAGTTTTCATAGTTGTACATCCAGCCGAGAGGCCTTGACGCACACGTCTCAGCAGCAAGCTCTTGGGAGCAGGTGACTTGTCAAAAGAGCCTCCTGCATATTATGCATACAGACAGAACCGAGGCACCTTTGATTCCCAATGCGCCTAGAAACTAGGAGGAGATGGCAAAATACTACACCCCCAGGTTGATCTGCCCTAAACAGCTCCTCATCGGATGCGCATGTTACGCATGGAAGCAGCAGGTATTTCTAATCTACCTCGGAGATATTCGCAGTGCGGGTCTTTGCGGGGAATCCTCGGCTCCTGGGCCTGTAGGGGGCGCTGCGGGGGCTTCGCCTAGCGGTGCTCCGTCGCGAGGATGCTAAAACGAGGCGGAGTTTAGAGAGCCTTCGTGGGAGTTCGCTGGTGTCTCCGCCTTTTGGAAGTGCTGCTGTCAGGCACCAGGCTTCTGCCCCATGGTGCTTTGGCTGCCATCGCACTCGCCCTCTGCGTGGTCGGAAGGCATGGGGTCTTTGCAATTGCTGTGCTGAGCTGATGGCACGGCTCGTTTTGAGAGGCTAACCGATGCCGGCGGAAGCTTGCTGTCAGCAGCGGGCTCACGAGCACACGTGTCTGCTGAATTGTGCACGGGATTCAAAGTTGATTCGTAACCCCCCCCCTTCTCAATTGGTGCAGCAGGGCTGTGCTTAGGGGGGCTTCGGGGCAGCAGTTTCCGGCGGAAAGTGATGGTGCCAGTGGCCTCGACGGATGGTCGTCAAGCGATATAGTAGCCACAATCCCGAACGAGATTCGCATCCGCGCTCCTACTGAAATCGCCTTCGAAGCCTGTGGCACTGTTTTTGGATTTTTTGGCACGTGCGGGGCTGCATGCCTCGACGTATTTCGCCATGCATCGCGAGTCCCAGGTCTTCGTGCCCTCGCCACCAGTGCGCTCGGTTCGCTCCGTGCGTTCTGCGGGCTCGGAGCTTGGCAAGTTCCTCATAGCGGCCATGGCGGCAGCGAGACGCCTCCGGGTCCGGGTGTCTCCGCTCCGAGGTACGATTCGCTGTCGAGTAGGCGTCAAGCGCAAGGCCTGCATGGTCGGCACAAGTAGCCGTTCAGCTGCGGGGGTCCGGGGGTCGACTATCTTGCACGGTATGTCACGTCTCTTCTCGGTGACAGGCTCAAGAGAAAGAGGGCGAAGCAGCAGAGGAAGAAGAAGAAGATGAGGAGGACGTAGACGATCTGGACGTGTGGGCCCTAGCTCTAGGGTACAGGTAGAGAGTTGCCAGGGAGGAGTTGAGATCCATGCCATGTGCAGGAGATCGTAATGGATACCGATGACGACGACGATGATTTTGAGGCTTGGCGCGTCGGTGCCGAGGGGTCTCGTGTGAATTGGCGTTGATCGACCCCAGTCTCAAATCTTGTTCTTAACCCGATGGCATGATGTAGTTTCTGAGGAGTTATTGAGCCGGTTGAGTGCGAAGCCGCAGCAATGACACCGTGGCTTGCAGGCAGATGAAAAGGGTGCATTTGAGGTCGGAGCCATGCTGAGCCGTGCTGGGCTACTGCAAGTGGTGGAAACCACGCGTCACTGAAATCGGGCAGTCGATCGGCAGGATGACGACGAGGAAGATGACGATGTTCTCTACGAAGAGGTGCAGCCGTTCTCCAAGTGTGACACAGCAGCATGGTTCACAGCAAAGGGCTGTCATGCACTGCTATGCACTGTGCGTGTCCTGTCGCAGGATGAGCTGGACG